CATGTGGTCGACGAGGAAGGAAATACGCCCTTCCATCTTGCGACACTTTTGTAAGTTGGAAGTTGTTGCTGGATCTGCCGTAACTTCAAACTAACATTGGTACTTTCCCGTTCAATTAAACAGCAATCAGCTGGAGATAATGGAACTATTGTTATCGCGAGGCGCAAACGTCAATGCTGTCAATAACAACAAACATAGTGCTTTGCATATAGCCGCGGAGAAAGGTCACCGCGAAGTTTGTCCCCTCCTTCGAAACGCCGGTGCTTCATTGCATGTGGTCGACGAGGATGGAAATATGCCCCATCATCTTGCGACACTCTTGTAAGTTGGAAGTTGTTGTTGGATCTGCCGTAATTTAAAACTAACACCAGTACTTTCTCGTTTGATTAAACAGTAATCAGCGGGAAATAATAATATATCTAGTGACATCGCAAGGCGCAAACGTCAATGCCGTCAATAACAACAGACATAGCGCTTTGCATATGGCCGCGAAAAAAGGTCACAGCGGGATTTGCACTCTCCTTCTGGACGTCTGTGCTTTATTACATGTGGTCGACAAGGAAGGAAATACACCCCTCCATCTTGCGACACTCTTGTAAGTTGGAATTGGTTGTTGTTGGATTTGCCATAACATCAAACTAACATCGGTACTTTCTTGTTTGATTAAACAGCAATCAGCCGGAGATAACGGAACTACTGTTATCGCGAGGCGCAGCCGTCAATGCCGTCAATAACATAAGACATAGTGCTTTGCATGTGGCCGCAATAAAAGGTCACCACGAAATTTGCATCCTCCTTCTGACCGCAGGTGCTTCATTAGATGCGGTTGACGAAGACGGAAATACGCCCCTCCATTTAGCCTCATTCTTGTAAGTTGGAAGTTGTTGCTGGATCTACCGTAACGTCAAACTACTAACATCGGAACTTTCTCGTTTGATTAAACAGCAATCATCCGGAGATAACGGAACTATTGTTATCGCAAGGCGCGGCCGTTAATGCCGTCAATAACGACAGACTTAGTGCTTTTGCTATGGCCGCAATAAAAGATCACCGCGAAATTTGCACCCTCCTTTTGGACGCCGGTGCTTCGTAGCGTGTGGTCAACGAGGAAGGACCCTGCTGAAAATGTTCGATTAAAACCGATTAAAACGTAATCCGTTTTAATCGATTTTAATCGGTTTTAATCGGTTCAATCCGCGCCCGGATTAAAAAGTAATCGATTTTAATTCCGAACGAATT